GGAATTTGCAGATATTTAATGGTTTTCTTTCACAGTTTGGTTTTACCAACCAGTTATCAGTCATGAAATTAATTTAATCTTATTTGACTTATCTGAAAACAAACCAATTTCATTGGGAAAAAAATATTTATTTTAGCCATATGCTGCATATATCATAAACTTGTTAATCTCAAAGCATATTGTGTGTGTGTGTGTGTGATCACATGTGCATGCGTTTTTTACTTTGATGATCTTACAACTTGGGGTTAATATTAGCTTTGATTATTTTATCAAGTCTATCCAAGTATGTAAGTTATATCACTCATATCTTTTTATTGTTGCTTATGCAGGAGGACAGACTAGTATCAGGTTAGTCTTTTCTGTTCGTTAGCTCTAATTCTAGTTACTCTTGGAATTCATATCTGATGGTTGATGAGGGAATGGGTAGTTCTTTTTTAAGTACCGGGAAAGGTAGAATTTAATGTCATCTGTTTAACAAGGTAGGGGCTTGTAGGTCGTTGCATATTGGTGTTAATGATTTGTATAACATGTGCAGCCTTGAAAAGTATTGTAGAAATTCATCTCAGGTTTTCACTTTTCATTTTTGTTTTGGTTTTCAACTCTTTCTTTTTCCATTATGGATAATATCTTATATCCTCATTATTACACGATTACAGATAACCTATATTATTCTTTTACCCAAACTATCGTCTTTCACAGAGTTTCCTATCACAATTAGTAACCTGGAGCTTTTCCACAAGGAAATGAAACGAGGATAGATAAACTTGTTCACTTGAACCTGAATCAGACTTCATATATAGGCTCCATTTTGGTCGTGTGTCAACAAGATATTGTTCCTAAAGTTGACTAATTGGTGTACTTGTGAATTGATACTTCAGTTCATCTATGTCGTACTTGTGTATTTAACTATAATTGGTTCTCTACATGAACTTCTTTTTTCCCTGTCCTTTATATTTTCTCCTTTTTTTAAATGGTTCAAGCTAACTAGTTGCCTGCCTTGTGTGGTAGACCATACTGGAGATGCTATTTTCCAAATACTCAAGCTATAATCTATGTGGTTGATTCAAGTGATACTGATAGGCTGGTGGTAGCGAAAGAAGAGTTTCATGCAATACTTGAGGTACATTATCGTCAACTGAGCTGGTGTACTTAAGTTTCTAAAATTTTGCAATGAAAATCCATATGATTCATGCATTTTATTATTGTAAGGTTTATAGAATATTTTAAAAAATGCTGAGTAACATCTGAATTCACTGTTAGTGGAACGTATCATCATTGGCATGGAGCAATATCCAGTCTTGAGATGTCAGTATAGTATGTTTGTATCACTTTCTTTTTCTGCAGTTTCCTTGTCATGCATAAGAAATAAATTAGATGTCTCCGACTGTCGACATTGAACTTTGGTGTGGTTTGTTAATTTGTTTGTTTGGCAAGTGTTTGGCAAGTGTCCCGTTTTCAGTAGTTTTCTGTTAGCCAGTTCCAATAGTTCTTCTTTTGGGTGGTTGTGCAGGAAGAAGAGTTGCGGGGTGCGGTTGCCCTAGTTTTCGCTAATAAGCAGGTTAGGGCGTTGCCTGTTATTTACTTATCATTTTTTGTAACTATAAAATGTGAGAAATGAATCATCTATGGATGAATAGTACAAACAAAACAATTACTAGAGAAAGTAATTCTTATTTCTGTCAAAACACACTTGAAACTTGAAAGCAGTAATTCTTATAAACTTCACAACCCAAGTTTTTTCGAGTTTGAGAATTATTTTTGTAGCTGTTTCTCGAAACCACAACACAAGGTCCAAAGACCTGGCCTTCGTGATTGTGTAAAGTGTTTGATATCAAACTATTAATCTAGTTTCTACTCTTCTATCTTTTTTTTCTTTTAATTTTTTTTTTATACTATCTTCCCATTGTTTAGGATCTTCCTGGTGCACTTGATGATGCTGCAGTCACAGAGGCTTTAGAGTTGCACAAGATCAAGAACCGCCAATGGGCTATATTTAAAGCTTCTGCTATAAAAGGAGAAGGTCTTTTCGAGGGATTGGATTGGTAAGCTGTAAAGTTATATACTTCACATTTGTTTGTTTGTTTGTTTTCATTTTTACATTTTTAATGATTCAAGATACTATAATAATTAGACCAGATATAAAAAAAAAGATACTATTATAATTAGACACCCTGTAGATGCTATGCAGGCGAGTAATCATTACATTCACGACTGGTGTTCTGAACTGGATGTATAATACCCAATAATTTTACTTTTTGCTACCTTAGAAAAGGGGTTCAATCTTTTAAACTATTATGAATGAAAAGGATTATGATGTAGATATCAAGCACAATTGGGATGTCACTCGATTACATTTCACTGATCACATCATTGTTATTGTGAACTCTTCCATTTATTTTTCTGCTCTCTTCTCCCTTAAAAATAGTTCGATTTCAGATGACTTCGTTCTCGAATTGCCTGAAGTGGCATTGCGTTAGTCAGGCAAAGCAAAGATCTTGAAGGATTCCACTTGCTTTACGGCTCACTTCAATTGTCTTACTAGTAAGCTTCTTAATGCAGGTTAAGTAACACTCTCAAGGCCGGAGGTGGCTAACTCATACCAACCAAGTGAAGAATATTTGAGGCACCCAGTTGACGCATACGGTGTTTAAGCGTTATGACTTGCAGAAGAGAACTCATTTGTCCGAGCGATTTCACCAGTTTTTACTTGTTTTTGGTCACAATTGTTTTTTAGGGGAACTTCTGGTATACATGTAAAATTGCTTTCATTAAAGATGGTGACCACTGGAGTCTTCACTGACTCTATTTTTCTTGTTTCCCCATCTTTAATTTCTGTGATTTGGAGCATATTTGTTACATTATTTCTTATTCAGGGATTACCTCTAAAATTGTCCTTTTCATCACCATTGTTATTCCCTTCAAGAGGATATTATACTTTAAAGCCAAGAATGCACTGTATTGGTGCTCTGACCATCTTCAACTTGCTGCTGAAAGGATGCGAGAACATTTGAAGAAAGAATTTAATGTCCTACCCCGAGTGGAATTCGATAACCGATCCATTTATTGTTCCAACTTACTATTAACCAATCATGTCTTAGGTTTTTTTTTGGGTATAACATGTTGGGGTTGGGGGATTGAACTTACAATTTATTGATTGAAGATCTATGTCAATTATCGTTGAGGTACGTTCGGGCCAAGTTACTGGTGGATTAGGGGCTTTTCTATCATTATTCTGGTTTGATGGGGACTTTTCTGACATTTACATCTTTTAATCTTTCCTAACGTTATCCATATTAATGTTACTAATATTAATGTATAACCTTCAAGATCATTTTCTTATTATTTAGTGTATGATTTGTGTAAATGTTTATTTATGAACGAGTCCCATCCAAACTCTCTATTTCTTAGCCTTCTTTATATTTTTCTTGTAGCATTGCACATGTTTGATATTTTTTAAACTTATTTTTTAGTATAATATGTGGAGTCCGAGATTCGAAATTACAGTTTTTTTTGGTTATAAATGAGTACCTTAATCAATTGGGTTAAACTAGTTATATTAATATACATGGACATTAAATAAGTTATTGTTGAAGTACCTCCTAAATTAAAAAAATATTATAAGTCTCCGTAAAATTTAAATTTTCTTAAATGAGCCGTTGACCTTTGGCCATCCATCAATCTTACCGTAAATTTAAATTATTATGGACCTTTGGTCATCTATCGTAAATTTAAATTATTATGGATTGACATTGATATTTTCTCATTTATTGTTGTCCACAATTTCAGCAATGTATTAATTTTGGCTCAAATTTTAGGGAATAAAGTAAGTAAACAAATGGAGAATTGGGATTGGCCTGATAGATATATTTCAGCAATGTATTAATTTTGGCTCAAACTTCGTTTTAAGTATTTAGAAAAGAAGAGGCACCCGACAATTGGGTGGGGATTTGTTTTTAGTCTTGGAAAATATTAAACTTAGGTTGTTCTTGAGAAAAGTAAGAGCTTGTGTGGCTATTTGATTCTCATATTTCATAAGATCACTCTCAAAAGTGGAAATATGCTTGATTTTTTTCTTTCTTTTTTAGTAGGTGAGAATCTCATCATCTTTTGGTCGGGGTATATACTTTAACTAGTTGAACTATGTTTAGGTTAATTAGACATATACTTCGATTAAAGTTTGACTATGATACCAATTTATGTATATATATATATATATCTCAGTTAAAAAGACACTTATTACCTTTCTTGAGTTGAATTTTTGTCTATCATATTTGGATTATTTAAAATTTGTTTGAAAAAACACACATTTAATGTGGCTTTTGAATAAATTCATTAGTTCAGTTTTTAATTTCCAAATAACTGCTGGTTCAAGGACATTTCAAGATCTAATTCTCAACATTAACACGGTCGCCTCTTCTGTGGTCTTCAAAATTTCCTCCTCTCCCTCTATGTATGTTTCTTCACATACTTCTAATAAAATGGTGTCTCGTTCATTAGTTTAGTTTTTAATTTGAAAGTTTGCTAATTATTTATTTAAATTAAAATAGTTTTTATAAAATTAAATCAAACTTAATTCACTCTTTTCTGAAGATGTCATCAATCTAATAGAGATGAAGAAGGATGAAAACATTATCCCAAGAAAGCAAAAAGCCCCATTACCATCAAGTGATCAAAGAAGAAGCAGCCATTTTTTTTTAAACCAAAAGCATCTTAAAAATCAAAATCAAAAGAATAATTTTTTCTTTAAAATATTATCACATGACCTCTGTTGCAGAATCCGAAGGCCAACATACCTGCAAAATAATTTTGAAAAAATTAATACATCAAAAAGTAGTGAAATAATCTCACTTTAATGACTTGTATTTGTTATTTCTTTCAGGGGGGAAAAAAGAATATTTGTGTGATTATTATTTCTTTTTATTTTCATTCTCTTGCTATCAACGGAAAAAGTTGAAGCCTCCCTCTCACAAGAAGTTAACCAAAAAAAAAAAGTTAAAAGTTGAAAAATATCTAGAAATAGTAGCTACGGACATTGCTATCATGAGTAGAAGATAGTTATACCATATTATGAATGATGCCAACCTTTCAAACATCATTGATAAACAAACGATTTTTAACGGGAAAAATTTAAGAAATTTAGTGAGTGAAATATCGTACTAAAATATGATACGCTAAAATATGATCAAAGATAGTGAAAGAGAACAAAATAATCACTTTCTTTATTGTAATCCGATTTGAAAGAACAGATATTAAAATAATTTATTTAGAATACAGAATAAAATTTAGAAAAAACTTCACTTTGAACACTAGCCGACCCAATAACATGGAGACACATGTTAGTTTTTTTCTTTTGTTTTTTTTTTTTACTATTTTATTAAAGCTCAATATCTCATACTTTTTTTTTTGCTCTCTCTCGATGAGTCTGACTTCCCAATTTTTCTGCCTCTCTCATTTCGTCATTTTTATCTCTTTTGCAAGGTCTCACCTCCATTTTTACCCCTCTATTTTTTGGATTTTTTTATTTTCATTTCACAAAATCACAAGCCTTTTTTTCCCTTTAATATTTTCGTAAGCCTAATACAATTAAATAATGAAAAATTCTTAATTAGAAAATTTATATCGATCTTCATTAAATATTTGACAATTAAAAAAAATACGATTAAAAAAAAATGATGAGTGTAAAATAAAGTTTCTACTTGGTAAGAGTTTTAAACGACTCACCGGCCGAGCATCATCAGGGTGGCAATAGGGTTGGATCCAGGCGAGACAACGAAAGWGGAGCCATCAAGCACACGAAGATTTTTGACTCCGAGGACACTGTAATTACCGTCGACCACTTTTCCGACCAAACATCCTCCATGGTAATGCCAATACGACGTCACCGTTCTCCGACAGAACTCTCCAACAGCAGTATCATTCGACAAGTTTTCCGGCAACGGAATCCCCAGAAACTGAAGCCTCTTATTACCCTCCAAATCCCTCGTCTTAATATTTTCAATCGTTTGGGTCTTCAGCAAATTCCCCACTTTTCTCACTCCCACAACACATCGCGCAACATCATCGGGATGGGAATAGTAATTGAATCGGACGACGGGACTGGCTTTCACATCGGTGGAAGAATTGAGGCGGAGGGACCCCACAGAGTCCACTTTGGAGAATTTTCCGCCGATGGTGGCTAAGCTCAGATTGGCTGAAGTGGACTGGGGAGGAAGAAGGCTGAAAGATGGAGGAATTGAGAATGGCAAAGTGCTGGCGATGGATTGGAAGTAGTAGCTGTTCTCTGCAATTCCTATCACTTTTGAAGACGTGAAAGCCACTAGAAATGGAAGCACTGCGACGACACCAAAACGGGGGTTGTCGATCATGAATTGGCCGACGTGTGGTTGGGGGAGGACGACGGGTAGTTTCAAGGATGAAAGATCAGATTTTGGGCCAACCCCACTTAGGAGAAGAAGTTGATGAAAGATGATGCTTGCATGCACTTCGATTGTCGCCGTGGTTTGTCAAAGAAACACAAAAAAAATTAATTCCTAAATAAGTGGTCATTATAAGGTTTGAATTCGTTCCCTCTAAATACTTTTGATTTACCTTGATCCTTTGGACTAATGAACCACTCATGACCATTATTAGAGATAATTGGAACTTTTCCAAGGTATGGTATTTAAAAAGTTTGTAATAGGTTCTTAGACTTTATAGTTTGGGCCTAATCTAAAATGTTAATTGTGTATTATTTAATGATTTGAGTGTAATTTTTACATAAAAGATACTTGACACTTTACTATCGAGTAACTTCTTCTTTAGTACTATTAAATATTTGACAACTCATTATTTTTTTTTAAAAAATAAACTTTTTGTTTTTACATTTCTCTCCCTTGAGTTAGTATAGAAAATACTTAGTTCTCCATTCGTGAGGAGAAACCTTGTTTTTACCATCAATAGATATTTGACAACTCATTATTTTTTAAAAAGATTTTTGTTTTTATATTTCTCTATTTTAGTTGTAAAATATTTAATAATTGTAAGATAAGGTTCCTCCTTACCATTCAGGAGCCAAGTATTTTTGGAGTTTATTTAATGGTTGTTATTTGATATTCAATATATAAATTAAATTTACCTAACCCATCARGTTAAGCTTTTTGGTTGAGTGGTGGTTTATTTATTCTTAAGATGGTATCAGAGCGGGTGGTCCTTTGTTCGAGCCCCTGCGTAGTCGTTTCCTCCCCATTTATTATGATTTCTATTTGTTTGGATAAAGTTTTATCTTTTGACAGTGGCCTCGATGGCAACTTTGAGGTTTGTGGGATCAGCCTTATTCAGAAGCTCCACAGCTCCATGTCTGGTTCCATTCTCATCAAAGATAGAACCTGCAATTTTAGTCCCCACAATCTCTCAAATCGAATACATTATCATGGACAACACCACTTTCCACCAAAGCACTTTTAAAAGCAGATTGCCAAGGAACTAAACTCGGGCGCGAAACCAAAGCCTGTTCCACCCATTGGTACGCCTTCTCCACCATTTCCATGTCCCATTCCACGCCCTGAGTTCTGAAGAACTCTGGATTTGCTCTCGAGTAGACGCCGCCGTTGATCATGCTACTACCGCCAAGGATCCGCCCTCTTAGGTTCTCTACACCCTCCTCAGAGATGAACCGCTGGAAGGGATTTTTGCCGTCATCCTCCACAGTGAAAACGTTTTGTAGACCTTGTTCGCTCAGTACAGAGAGATATTTGTTGGGGACACTGCCTCTTTCGAGGAGGACAGAGAAATTTCTTGACAAAGTTGCGGCTAATGGGCAGCCTGCAGTCCCTCCCCCTATTATTATGTAGTCATATTCTTCTTTTTCTGGTAGACTACTGGCATTGTACACAAACTTCATATAGCTAGCATCTGAACAAAAAGTTTAAAATAATGAGACTGTGTTCAATGGAGTTTGAAATTTTTAGAGGAAGGAGTACAAAATCATACTATGTTCTAACTTTTGTTATATGTAGTTTATCAATTCTAAAAATTTAAAGAGATGGAACAAATTAGAGAAAAAAATTTGAAAATTTAGGACACGATTGGATAACTATTTTATTCTTAGTTGTTTGTTTGTTATATCTTTCTCTTTTAAAACCGTTTTGAAATCTAACTTCAACAAATGTGAGTTTACTGATAAAAAATAAATATGGAAGAAATAATGACGGACAATGTA